CTGTCTTTACTTACTCTGCTCAACCTGTTTTGTATTTGTAATTATTTTTTCTATCCTTAACATGTGTTTTTTGTCTTTCTGTTACACCTGGACCTACCATTCTATGTTCATCTGTCTCTCCTTCCTGTCCTCTCAGCCGGTCAAAGCAGATGGTCTCTTGTCCTGAGCCTGGTTCTGCTGGAGGTTTATTCCTTTTTAAAAGGGAGTTTTTCCTTTCCACTGTTGCCACTGTGCTTGCTCAGGATGGGAGACTGCAACGAAGCCAAGATTCAACTTGTCTGCTGGATTCCTTAGATAGAGAACTTTACTAATTGGCTTTTATGTTTGTGAATGTTCCTGTAAAGTGCCCTGAGACAACTTTGTTGTGATTTGGCGCTATATAAATAAACTGAATTGAACTGAATTTTATTTTGTCCATAAGAGTCTTCAGAATCGCTCAGTGTCTGGCCTGTCACCTAGAACCAATCTGCTTTGGGAGACCCTACGAGAGCACAGCTCCTAGGATCATTCAGGTGCACAAGCTCCTCCACCATGACAAGGTGGCGATTCAAGGAGGAGATACAAAAACCCATAACTAAAAGCTTTGCATGTCTTGCTGGAATCCTGCTGCCTTTTACGCCAGAGAGTGAAACTAAGATCATCTCATCAGAAGGCCATTTGGTCAAACCTCGTAAATGATCTGCGGTGTTTCTTTCATTTAGCTGCTCCCTTCTTCAGGGATCGCCACAGCGAGCAATCTCACACAAAAGATTTGGCAATTTTTCAACTCAGGTGTTCTTCCTGATGCAAGCTGGGCTCGAACCTGCAGCCTCTGGAGTATGACTGCTGCACTGACCACCAAGCAACGACAGCCCCTGGATGTTCTGCACGAGTTCATTTATACTGCGAGGTGTGTTAGCGCTCAGAGTACGTGTTGGAAATGACACAGCTTTTATCAAACCTCAGCTCAATACTGGTAAAATGGAGTAAGTAAACTTTGTGCTAATGTCAATTAGCTGTGGACGCCATCTTGAATTGGGTTAATCAATAGTCCAAAGATGTTGCACAATGTGTATAAGGGACGATGCTCATTACTGTCACACCAAAATTCAGCTCAGTGTCTGTAAAACTGACAAGTTTATAGAAAACAGACGAGCGTAATGGGAATATGAAACAGTTTGATTCCTCTTTAAAACAAAATAAACAAAGACAGAAACGGCACATTTAATCTGTCTGAGCCTACCTGCAGGCGTGCAGCAGCACCAGCTTGTAGATGTTCTTATAGACCGCCTCGAGGGAGTTATTCTGAGGAGAGACGTGGATAAATGACTTGCGCTTCATTGCATTATTGTTTGCTTCAAAATAATCCAGAAGTGAGATACACATGTATTATTGTATCGTCTGTTCTTTTTAAATTGGTACACGGGCCTTATCATACGTGAGCAGAGTAAACAGAAGGGGGCTCAACACACATCTCTGATTACTGGAAAATTCTAAGGAAACAGAACAGACAGAGGTCTCTCTTGTAAATGAGTCCCCGAGGCTCAATGGGATTAACCTGTATAAATAAAGGCTGAACAAAAAAAGATGGTTTCAGAAACTCTATGAATCTGTTTGTTTTTAACCTTCAGGTCCAAAAACAGGGTGTGGCATTTGAGTCTGAGGATGGCCATCAGCTTCCTCTTCATCAGCTGTCCAGCTGAGTGGAAAAACCCCAAAGTAAGGCTGTAGCGCAGAGACAGGCCGGCATACCTGTCGGGCATGGACAGAGAAACATAAAGAAAACAACAAAGGACTAGTTCTATGTTTGGAGTTCAATGCTAGGATACATTTTTTTCTAATCAGAAGAATAAAGTATATGAAAGGGTGTGTATGTGTGTGTATATACAGTATATATATGTACACACACCTGGGTGCTCACATAGCTGCTCAATATACGTCTTTCTTAGTGGGTGTGTCCTCGTGACTTTATTTTACTGTTTTACACACAGTAGCTATGTTTACATGCACAAAATTATTTGACCGAATTTAAATGTTTTCAGATTAAATAATTCAAATGTATCGTTTACATGGGCACAATCTGTTCACGACGAGCGTTTACATGCAGCGGGCTTTGTTCTGAACAGAAGTACTGACATGTGCAGAGTGGTAAACTCTTCTTAAAAAAACACAGAAGAAGTTCTACTTCCGGGATGAACATAAACAAACCTGAGCTCACAAAATGGACCTGCACCAGGTTCTAATGACGGTGGAGACGTTGCTGCACTCCCTGACTGAGCTGCAGGTGATACAGATCATTCTGAGCTCTTTCTACGTTTCTAGAAGAAAATGTGTCGCTCATCGACCAGTTTTACTTCCCCGACATGCTAATATTGTTAGCATTAGCCAGGCGGAAATGACATAGGTCACACATGCGCAGTCAGGTCAGTTTTTCACAATCGGAAAAAAATGAACAGATTAAGACATGCACACTGTTCAGATTATGAATCAGCATAAACCACCTGTCTCATTCTGATTACAAATTCTTTCGGATCGAGCTGAATCAACAAAAAATTATCCGAATGGGGCGATTACATGAAGCTTTTTTATTCCGAATGGCCGTTTAATCTGATTACTTATGTTCATGTCAACATAGCTACAGACAGAGTGGGGGGGTGGGGTGGGGGGGGATTCTCCCCCTCCCCGTTTCATTGGTTCGGCTGTGACCTGTTCGGTAATTTCATTGGTCAGATTTAACCTTTATTTATACAGGTTGTCTCATCAACACATGTCTCACTTGGTGGGAGGAGGTCCTTGTGACCCAATGAGACTAGTTCATTGGTTCATTGATGTTGACCGTTGGTCACATGACCTCAGGGAGGGATTATGGGTAAAATGTATGTTCACTGTTAATCATTTCGGTTGTTTAGCATTGTTCTTTTTTGTGATTGGTCTGTTCTTGTTAGCCTAGTTTATGTTCATTATGTGTTAGTTTGTGTTGGGTCATGCAGTACAGTAGCCCGTGGCTTATAAATGTACAAAATTGTGTTTAAATTAAATTTAGTGTGTGCGGCTTATATTTACAGCTCTACAGACCAGCAATTATGTTTTTGTTTTTTAACAAGAATTTGAAACCATAAATATTGCAGGAAACTTAACATCTCATGCAATAAACACAACTCAGAATGACTGGGTTTTATAAGGAAAAATTGCATTTTCTGCTAAAAAAATAAAATAAAATCCTGAGTGACTGGTAAGTTCTGGTTAACGTTTTCTGAAATTTGATGAAAAACTGAATCGTAGTTATTAAATCTAATATAACCAGAAGATGAGCAAAAAGTTAAAGGAAAAAACACTAAATTAAAGAAGTGCAAATCTAGCTAAAGCCAAAAGCAGCAAACAAGTAGCTAAAAGAAAAACAGTAGCTGAAAGCTGTAGCACCAAAAGACCAACTATAAAATAAAACATAATATAAGACAACAAAACAGAGCAAGTCTGCTGAAATACATCTCAAAGAAGACAATGGTCCTCAGTTTAATTCCAGGGGGAAAATATGTCAATAAATTTATATATTTTTTAAATGATAAGTAAATCAAAGTCACAGCACCCATCTCCTGACTGAGCTGAACATTTTGAAACATTATCTTAACCCGTCCCTTCCTTCCCGGGTCTTTGCTGCCCATGTCCAACAGCAGCATAAAGAACGCTGATGCAGACAACAGCACGCGTACAGACAAAATGAAAACGAGTGGAGGAGTGTGAATGCTGAATCAGCGTCCACACACATCATATCCGATGACAGCTTCACCTCGAGTAGTCTTTATAGACGTCCAGTGAGTGGGTGTCCAGCAGCAGGCCACACCACGGTAAGAGGCAGCGAGGGGGCAGCATTCGAATGCCTGGCCCGGCGCCCAGGCTTCCTGATACTTCAAAGTTGACCACCACTTTTTGTGGGTTGACCACCAGCCCGTACTGTGGCACGCCATTCAACATCGTTCTACAAACAGCGATAAGGTCCCATGATTAAATGATGTGGTTAGGCCTGTCATGATAACAAATTTTGCTGAGCGATTGTTTCAGAAATTATTGCGATAAACAATAACATTGTTTGAAATTTAACAATAATTAATTGTCAAATTTTAGAAGAAATGTTGACGTTTGGTGTAGTACCGTTTTTGACCACCTGATGGCAGTATAAGACTGTTAGAACCACAGGATGTATAGTCAAGCAGTGTGTCTCTAAGAAAAATGGGAGGGAGGGTCCTTGACATGACATGGGCTGACATGGTGACATGGCGTACGCTCGGTGATTTGAGCTCTTTAGCATAGCATTTTTCACACAAAGCTTTAAAAATCATTGAACAAGTTCTCAGCTTCTTTTTGCAGAAAAAAAATCTACTTTTTACACAAAGGAACGGGTTTCAACTGTGAATTTTGGAGCTCAACAAGACGGAGATTTGTTCCTGAGGTCGGCCTGTTAGCTTAGCTCGTAGCTTAGCTTCTTTTAACGATCCAAAAACACAATTTTGGACGGTTAAAACCGAATTTACAGAAAAGCGAAAGGGAGGGGTCCGTGAAGAACACTAGAGTTGAGCTTTTTGTCATCCAGTGTCTTCAATAGAAAGAGAGAGACACGAAGAAACGATAAATGAAAATGAGGTCGATGATTTTCATTCATCGTGCGATTAATTGATTTATTGTTTATCGCGACAGGCCTAAATGTGGTGTCTGTTGAACAGCTGGTTTTATGGTCATACCTTAAGAACGTTTGTGCTTGATGGTGATCTGGTGTGATAAGAAGGAAGTCATCCACCAGTCTCATCAAACACCTACAGCAACAAGAAAACGACCCACACATGAGGACACAAACACCTCAGTACAGTACAAACACCTCAGTACGGTACAAACACGGCCTTCTAGGTTTTCAAACAGATCTGTTGTACCCTTTGTTTTCAGAGATATCTTTGAACAGAACATTTTCCATGTGGCCATAACATAAACAGCAGAGGAGACTGGACACCACCGCTCCCTGAGGAATCCCTCGGCACTGACGGTAGGTCCTGCAACACAACTTCTCCATGAGTGTTTCAAGTCACAAAATCACATTTCCACTGAGCAAAGAGGAATAAAAAGCAGAACTGACTTCTTCTTGTGCTGAACCACGCTGCCAGCTAACATTTGGGTGAAGAACTGTAAAGCCTCTCTGCCACAAAGATCAGAGCTGAAATACTGTAACCATTAAAAACATTTAAATGTTTAAGTGAAGGTAAAAAAAAAAACATTTATCTTAAATCAAAGTAACTCAATGAACTGAAAGCTACCTGCTCCACCAGGATGGCATGATGGGCTTTTCCACTTTTCTGCAGTGACATCAAAAACCCCTTCATGTTGGAGGACCCCATGCTGTCCTGCAGGAAACTTGCCTGTGAGAACACCGAAACAAAGAAAAGTCCAATCATGTGTCCAGATGGCTGCTTGACCTGTGGACAGCTGAAAACTAGATGTCTACCTGTTTAATCTCTTCATTTTGTTTAACATACATGCTACTCAGTGTTCATTACGTTTATACATCTTCTTTGAAAGTCAAATGTAGTTTATAATTCATATTTAATTGAACCTGTTAGCTTTCTTATAGCTCCCATTTTGTGTTTTTGAGAGATCGGTCCAGCTTTGTACAGATTTACTGTAGATGCCACAGCAGGGCACCACAGCTGAGCTTCAGCACCCATCATCCCAGACTCACTGGTTCCCAAACTGCCAGACTCACGTCTTCTGTCGCTCATCTGCGCCTGCATTAAAAAGTCCTGACAAACCGTCCAGTCGGTCAAATCCCGTGCTCACCTCTGTTCCTCCTGCGTGTGCACACACCATCTACGCTGAAATCACTAACAAAATTTGCAGACAACACCTCTGAGGTGGAGTTGATCTCAGTTTGAGGAACTACAGGTACAATGCTCAGCAAATAACCAGTCGCTGAACCACAAAAAAATAAATCATTGTTGACTTGGGGAAGACCAAGGATTACCTCCGTTGTAAATTAACAGTGGCTGTATAGGGACAGTCCACACCCACAGCCTCACCTCTTCAAAGCTGAAAATGCCACAGCGGCCACCAAAGCCCAGCATCATCTACACTTTCTGGGGGTGATCAGAAGGAACAAGCTGCATGGAAATCTGCTGGTGATCTTCTACAGATGCTGCATCTTGAGTAAATAGCCAGCTGTGCTGAAGCCGACAGGAAGAGGCTGAAAAGATGAGAGTGAACGCCACAGAAAACTGCTGACCACCCTAGATGATCTTGATAACTATTGATGTCTCAACAGAGCGAGAAACATCAGACAGTTTACACCTGAGCTACAGGTGCATCAAAACCAGGACTACAAGACTCAAGAAGGTCCATCTCTGAAGCCCCAACGATGACAAATATAAACATGCACATCCTGCTGTCAGTGCAACCTTTATTAGTATCAATTTAGTAACATATACTTGAAGAATGTAATAATACTAATAATGTGAATGCTGCAGCGTTCACATTATAGTTTTCTGTTTTTACCGTTTCCTGTACATTTTTAAATCTGATTACTTCTGCATACATTGGGCTATTTCAGGGGTTCCCAACCATGGTCCTTGAGGAACACCATCCTGCATGTTTTAGTTGTTTATCTGCTCTGACACACCTGATTTTAATTAATGGGTAATAAACAGGTTTCTGCAGAAAATGAAGTAATTAAACCACTGAATTAGGTGTGTTGGAGCAGGGAAACAACTGAAACATGCAGGATGGTGTTCCTCAAGGACCAGTGTTGGGAACCACTGATTTAAATCATTCACATTTTATAATTTTGCCACATCACTCAAACAAAATGTTCAGATGATTCAGAAAATGGCTGCTATAACTTTTGTTTTGGTAATTTTTTTGTGTATTCACAAATATTCAAATTCAGTTCAGGCAGTTTATTTATATAGCACCAAGTCACAACAAAAGTCATCTCAGGACACTGAACATTCATATACATAAAAACTTAATAACGTTATTTATCTGACATTAACATTAAATACACAAAGATCTGGAAATCCTTCAGACATTGCTCTCTTTGAAATCTGCTTCAATTTGTTTGCAATATTTTGTCTTTATACATTAATTTTAGCTTTTACCTCAGTTTTTGGTCAATTTTCCTTGTCTTTCGCTACATTTAGCTGTTGTTCTTCTCCTTTTAGCTTGGTTTTTGCTACTTATAGTTTTTAAATCGAGCTATTTTGGCACCACTGAAGCCTTGAACGTTACATCACCTGTCGAAGGAAGGCCTTTTTCAGACCTTCATGGGAATCCAACCAAATCTTGGCATAGCGGCGGATGAAAAGGATTTCATCCTGAACAGGTGAAAGGACTTGGTTAATCACCTCTACCAGCTTGTCATGTGGCAGGCTCTCATAGGCTCTACTCACATCCACCTTAAAACATAAACGAAGGTTAACAAAGATTTGAATTTCTCTAAATATTTTCCTCAAATGACATAATGAATCAGTCGTAAAAGCAAAGTGATTCAGCTCACATTAACAAAGTAGAGGTGTTGTGGTTCGTCTTTCTGAGACTGTGCCAGCGAGCACAACACCCTGTGGATATCGGTCATGCCCCACACTGTGGAGCCAAGGAGGGATGGAGTGGAGTGCACGCAGGCCTGCAGCATGTCCAGCAAGTCCCGGACACGTGCCTTGTGGATCTGTAGGACAAACTCTGTAAATAAACTTACTGATACGAAAGGAAGCACCATGCGACCGTGTCAGTGTACCCTTGTTTTAGCATCTGCTCCTACGACTCGTGTGATGGGTCTCATGCTGTCAGTCTTGGGGATGAAGCGCAGTCGGGAGATTACGGTCCCTTTGGGGAGGGAAGCTACCTGAGCTGGAGACAGCTCCTCCATCTGCCCTTTAGCCAGGTGACCTCTATGGAAAAATAAATAAATAAAAAGTTTAGTTTTTATTTATTTGTAACCATATCCCCCCCCAAAAAATGGTCAACTGTGGTTGAGTGTCTGTGTATTTATACCTGAAGGCCAAGTCTTGAAGTTTGGCCCACACTTCCTGTCTGTAGAACCTGACGGCGTTCTTCTGCGCCATGCTCTCCGTCGCATAAAAACAAGCTCGGACAAGGCTTACAACGTACCCATCCAAAAGCCAAGTCAAGAACTGGCCCAGGATCTGCGTCCGATATGCCAGCTCACTGGGCGGAATGCGACCTACACATGAGATTTTAGGAAGCCATTAAATATACAAGCACAGGTCTGTTGCAGTGAACAATAAATCAATTCATCGTATGATAAATGAAAATTATCAACCTCATTTTCATTTATTGACTTTATCGTTTCTTGTCTCTTTCTACTGAAGACACTGGAAGACAAACAGCTCAACTCTCAGTGTTCTTCACTGACCCCTCCCTTTCTCTTTAAAATCCATTTTAATCGTCAAAAATTGCGTTTTTTTGGATCGTTAAAAGCAGCTAAGCTGAGAAGCTAAGCTAACAGGCCGACCTCGACGAAAAAACCTCTGTCTTGTCAAAGCTACAAAATTCACGGTTAAAACCCGTGGATTCGTCTAAAAAGTTGTTTTTCTCTGCAAAAAGAAGCTGAGAACTTGTTCACTGATTTTTATTAAAAGCTTTGTGTGAAAAATGCTATGCTAAAGAGCTCAAACCACACAGAGCGTCCGCCATTTTGAGAACCGAAAACAGGAAAGACAGACAGCCCATGTCACGTCAAGGAGCCTCCCCCCCATTTTTCTTAAAGAGACACGCTGCTCGCTCCCTCACTATCCATCCTTCGGTTCAAACAGTCTTACACTGCCAACAGGTGGTCAAAAAAGTACTACACACGACAATTACCAACATTTCTTCTTAAATTTGACAATAATTACTAACTATTTTCAATTTTCAAAGAATATTATCATTTATCGCAATAATTTCTGAGACAATTAATCACCCAGCACAATTAGTTATCGTGACAGGCCTACAAGCAGCAAACAAAGAACATTCTCCCCTTCCATTATTAACTCACCAGTCTTACTGATCTTCAGCCAGTCACAGTCGTTCACCTTCACCTTCCACATCAGTTCAGACACTGAGATCCGTTCGTATTTGCTGCTTTGCAGGAAACCTCTGACTCTGGCAAGGAAGTGAAGACGGTTGTGGTTGGAGCCCCACAGCTGATGTGGGATCACAGCAGAGAGGCATTCCCTGACGAACAGGTAGACCTGATGGGGTGTGGAGTGTTTGGGTAAGAGCGACTTTAACTTCGCCTGTACCTCTGGGCTCTCCTCAGCCAGTGGACACATCTTCTGCAGAATCCTGCTGTACGGGCATTTTCTATGTTGTTGAAGCAAATGACTGAACAGAGGAACCATGCTAAAAAAACGCTTGGGAAGTTTCTTTGGTTTTCTCTCCAGCCCGTTTAAATACTTAAGGCCCTCAAAGAAGATCATTCTGATCAAATCTTTCCCCTGTAACCTTCTGGCGCTGTCCCCGGTTCTCTTCTTCCTGTTGAGAAGGAAGCTGTGCATCCCCCTGCCACCGTACAGGAACCCCAGCGTGCGGATGAAACACTGGGAGGTCGGTAAAGGTGGAAAAGTTCCCGATCTCCAACTAGGACCACCTTCAAAGTGAGGGACGCCGGGTGGTGTCTTAGCAGGCTGTTTGAAAGCCGTCACATTACTTTCCACATTTCTCTTCGTCACTGATGATACCCCAGACGTGGTCCGTCCTTCCTCTGCTGTTTCTGAACACGTCGGTTCAGTTCCCCGTTTGTCTTCTAACTGGATTACCCGTCTCCTTTTACTCGCCACAGTCTGCTCCTCCAGCTGATCTGGTCCCCTCTTTCTTTTCCGTTTACCTTTCCTTATTTTGCTCCCTTTAGGTTTCTCACAGACATGTCTCCGATTCGAATTTAACCTTCGAGTCTTTTGAAGTAGAGAGCAACTGCGCCTCCTGGCTTGAGATTGCAGACAAAACTTGCTTGACGCGGTGGTCAGGGTCACCCTGTCATACACAGGGGCACCACACACCTGGAAAGCACACGACGGAGGGACTGCCATGAACACAGAGCAGCTCTCCAGCAGGTAGCGTGCGACGTCTGTGCCAAGACGTAAGAGGACTCTCTTCCACAGGTCACTGCCGTGGAGGTAGGCGGCACTCTGCGTGACTTCTGCTTGGAATTTGAACAGGTCTGCATCTCGATCCTGCTGTCCCAGAGACAGAAAGCTGTAGCCATGTGCCAAGACATTCCTCTTCTTTTTCCTCTTCATGCTGTTGAGAACGAAAGCCAGCAGTTCTAGAGGAGAGCAGATCTAGAAAAACAGCATAAATTCATTAACAAAAAAAACAGATAACCCTGTGAATAAATACAAAACCAGATGTATTGTGGTTGGTGGATTCATAATTATTGCCTGATATCAAACGTTTGGTCTGCTGTCAAAACATTTCACGATCCTTAAGACGACAACAGTCAACTTCATAGATAGTGAGCGACAGTTTGGTACGACTGACTCAATACAAATATTTAGAGATCTGACAGAAAATTTCCCTTTAACATTCTGGAGTCACTATCTCTCAGACCGGAGGCAATGTGTTCATCATAACGGTACTTCCTCCAGTTATTTAAGTCAATAATGGTGTACCACAAGGCTCAGTTTTAGGACCCACCCTCTTTACAATCTACATACGTAATGTTGGTAAAAACATCCCTGACGCATCCATACATTTCTATGCTGACGACACAGTTGTTTATTGTCGAGCTAAAACAGTTGATAAGGTTTTCCAGCTTTTGAAATCTGCATTCAACATCATCCAGTCTGATTTGTTTCGCCTCAAACTTGTCCTAAATGCCGATAAAACCAAAGGGATGCTTTTTTCAAATAGGAAGTTGGTCCCAGCAGTTCTTCCTCTGATCTCATCCTCAAATGGTGTCCCCATTGAGTTTGTTGATTCCTATAAATATTTGGGTATCTTGGTCGACTCACATCTCTCTTTTAAGCTCCATGTGGAAAACTTGGTAAAGAAACTGAAAGTTAAACTGGGTTTCTTTTTCAGAAACAGATCCTGTCTAATGCTGAATGCTAGAAAACGCCTTGTATCTGTGACTTTCCTTCCCTCAATTGATTATGGTGATATTATTTACATGAACGCTCCTACAAGAACCCTGCAGATGTTGGATGCTGTCTATCATGGTGCACTAAGATTCATAACTGGCTGTGATTATCGTACCCACCACTGCACCCAGTATTCACTGGTGAACTGGACACCATTAACTTCACGCACTCTCTCACTGGTACATTTTCATCTTTAAATCACTTCTTGGTCTGC